TTGCTTTTAAAGCCCCACCATACAGATTGAGACCTAATCACCTGGTTAAGTGAACAAGATGATGGTAAATTCTGCAGTTTTCTTGGCTTGGATTATTCACATATTGACTACATATAAAGAAATATTACCAGCCTTTATTTCTTGCGATTGTGATTATTGTGGCTTAAATACAATGGTAAGCAGAAATTGAGTGTTTCAAAAACTTTTAATATACCCTATCTGTAGAAAGGTGAGTATATGAACATAAAAACTGGTCTGAGCTATAATGAATATAATTGGCCTGATATGTAATGGATTTCAGACCAACTGTCATGTTCGAAACCTTCCTCTTGACAGTGGATTCTCTACAGGGTTCAAGCCAGGCGAGTTTGATAGCTAACCAAACTCACCATTTACATTATCTAGTTGCTGTTGATTTGCCTTTCATGGGGTCAACAGTAAGGAGGAAAGGATCAGAAAGGAGCTTGTATGTCATTACATAATGGAAATCTAGATGAAAGTCAAACTTGGACTAAAGCCTTTTGTAAAAAACTATGTCTTAGACTAATGGATTGAATGCATTTAACAAACGAGAGCATATAAAGGTGTGTGCATTTGCATGAGTTACACACAGCACACTGTTTATTTTTGTCCTTTTCCATGAGTTGGTCTGGACGTATGCCACTTCTAACCTAAAATATTGTGGGATTCCTCATAGCTCCTTAGAGCCAGTGAGGGACACATCAGGCTCCTATGATAAAGAAACCATATCGGCAGAAAAGCAGGTTCCTTTTCTTACCTCCTTCCTTCCTACTAGCTCTGTTCAGACAGTATTTATCATGCCTGAAGCATGTCTTCTTTGGTAGAGTGTCCATGTAGACTCTACCAAATTCCTGAATTAATTTAGCTTCAAACTAAATCCAATCCAAATCTTTCCAAAATAGTCAAGTTTGATAAGCCATAATCATCAAAACAAATAAAAGCTTTTAATAGTTCAATAATGTGTAGAGTACTTGCATACCTTTTTCCCTCTTTACGAAATGAACAATGAAAAATTCTGAACTTTTTCACAATATTCAATTATTTCTAAACAGTCCTTGTTAACCCTGTATAAAAAATGTATGTTGAACAATAGGCTGAAAAAGTTTTGAGCTAGCCATCATTTCAGCTGGAACCCCTGTGATGAGTCATAAGGAGGTAGGAAATCAAACGTATATAATCCGTGTGTCGTCTTGCCGAGGGGCTCGCTGCTCCACCTTCTCTGTCTGAAACCCTTTCCAGCTGTCGTTGGTTTGGTATCGATCCTCGTCCCTATACTGGAACATTTCCTCTTTTTGGCTTTTGACGTTTGTGTCATTCTCTCTGCATCTGTGCTGGTGATGTGATTTGGGTGGCTTTTCCATCTTTGTATTTTTGAGGTTGTTGGCATTGCCTTTGTGTGTGTGTTTTTTTTATTGAAGGTAACCTTTTCTTTGTGCTTTTTATAGCCCGTTTCCCATAGTATAGTCTTTTGCCAAGCCTATCTTGCAATAACTTACAGGTTAACAGAAGCGTGTAGAAAACCACTGACCTCATACACTATATTGCCAAAAGTATTTGCTCACCTGCCTTGACTCACATATGAGCTTAAGTGACATCCCGTTCCTAATCCATAGGGTTCAATATGACGTCGGTCCACCCTTTGCAGCCAGAACAGCTTCAACTCTTCTGGGAAGGCTGTCCACAAGGTTTAGGAGTGTGTTTATGGGAATTTTTGACCATTCTTCCAGAAGCGCATTTGTGAGGTCGCACACTGATGTTGGACGAGAAGGCCTGGCTCTCAGTCTCCGCTCTAATTCATCCCAAAGGTGTTCTATCGGGTTGAGGTCAGGACTCTGTGCAGGCCAGTCAAGTTCATCCACACCAGACTCTGTCATCCATGTCTTTATGGACCTTGCTTTGTGCACTGGTGCACAGTCATGTTGGAAGAGGAAGGGGCCAGCTCCAAACTGTTCCCACAAAGTTGGGAGCATGGAATTGTCCAAAATGTCTTGGTATGCTGAAGCATTCAGAGTTCCTTTCACTGGAACTAAGGGGCCAAGCCCAGCTCCTGAAAAACAACCCCACACCATAATCCCCCCTCCACCAAACTTTACACTTGGCACAATGCAGTCAGACAAGTACCGTTCTCCTGGCAACCGCCAAACCCAGACCCGTCCATCAGATTGCCAGATGGAGAAGCGCGATTCGTCACTCCAGAGAACGCGTCTCCACTGCTCTAGAGTCCAGTGGCGGCGTGCTTTACACCACCGCATCCGACGCTTTGCATTGCACTTGGTGATGTATGGCTTGGATGCAGCTGCTCGACCATGGAAACCCATTCCATGAAGCTCTCTGCGCACTGTTCTTGAGCTAATCTGAAGGCCACATGAAGTTTGGAGGTCTGTAGTGATTGACTCTGCAGAAAGTTGGCGACCTCTTCGCACTATGCGCGTCAGCATCCGCTGACCCCGCTCCGTCAGTTTACGTGGCCTACCACTTCGTGGCTGAGTTGCTGTCGTTCCCAAACACTTCCATTTTCTTATAATACAGCTGACAGTTGACTGTGGAATATTTAGGAGCGAGGAAATTTCACGACTGGATTTGTTGCACAGGTGGCATCCTATCACAGTTCCACGCTGGAATTCACTGAGCTCCTGAGAGCGACCCATTCTTTCACAAATGTTTGTAAAAACAGTCTGCATGCCTAGGTGCTTGAATTTATACACCTGTGGCCATGGAAGTGATTGGAACACCTGATTCCAATAATTTGGATGGGTGAGCAAATACTTTTGGCAATATAGTGTATCTTAAAACTGAAGCCTATACCTGATCCAAAGTAATTAGCACTTTGCTTTAAAACAAAAGCAAACTGATTGGATATGAATGAACTCAACAGTTGCAGCTGAAGATTTGATCAGCTTCTTAGGGAATATTTTACTGTTAAATTAGCAGGCCGTGTAAACATTGTTGACTTTTCTCGTTCATAAATGTAGAAATTTTCTGTCGGTACATATCAGCAGGGGAGCCCAATCATGACAGATGATGCCTCAGTGTTCATTCTCTACTTCCTGGAGCTTTTTTTTTATCACTTTCCTGAAATACTTAGTGGGATTAGGTTCTCAGGAGTTTTGTCCCCTTATTACTAAAATTTGATAAGGAGACATTTTCTCTCATGTTCTGAAGCGCACTGGGAAAAAAATCTAGATCTAGATAAATACTTTTTTCTTAAAATAAGTGCATTTGTTCTTGAATTGAGGAGGTAAGTGAGACACTTTGCCAATGGAACAAGACATTTACATTATAAATAAGAAAAAAACTATTGCATTGTCTTATTTCAACCAATATTGTCTAATTATCTTATTTTAAGAGTAAAAATACTCATTCCATTGGCAAATCATCTTATTTACCTACTCAAGTTAAGCGTAAATACACTTAATTTTAGAATTTTGACTTATTTCTAGATAGTTTTTTGCAGTGAAGGCTATTGATATAGTGTGTGAATTGTTGGAGGCTTATCTCTATGTACTCTACCAAACATGATTTCCACAGGATTCACAGTAGCTCTTAACTTGCACTATCTAGGCTAGTTATTTTCTAGAGGTCCCAAGCAATCAGTGTTGAAAAATCCTCAGCTGCAACATATTTTATTACCTACAGAAAGACTATGCTTAAACCTTTACTTTAATAGAGGTGGCTTCTTTGCTGTCTTTTTTGTTTCAGGGCAGGTTCCCAAAAGTCCTTTTTGTTCTGCCCTGCTCTGTAGGATATCCTCCCAATTTGTTAGAAATTTCCTCACTGCAGATTAATCTTTCCACAGGACATTGTTGATGTCTTTGGTAAAATTTGTCCTCCAGATATATTCTTATTAAATATTTTCAGATATGAGATCATTTTAGATGAGGTGAAGGTAGTTGCAATAATTTCTTTACCACTGGTAACACTTGAAAACAATGGTTTTAAGCACACATGTCTCTTTCATAGTGATCCAGCTGCTGATTAGATTAACACGGCAGTCAGGCGTTTTAAAAACAGATACGGACCGACTGGCTTCAGGTTTTTAATTTATTTATTTTACTTTATGGTATAAAAAAAGTAAAAGTTTTATTTAAAAAAACACATTTGCATTACTGTTAAACTTTTAGCCATGAATGCACTTAATGCATTATGTGGAAATAAAATAAAAAATATTTTACTGCAATTTGTGCTAACTTGTAATAGAACACAAACTCATTCTTTTTTTTTTTACTTCTGAAATCCTTCAATAATTAATAAAATATCCACTATTTGCTTTTTAAGAAGGCTAAATTAAATTGGATAAAATTATTGCTAATTTGCTTTTATTAACCAACCTTAAAATTGGAGAATTTTGCCAGCCCTTATGACTGAATTTTAAACAATAATACGTTTAGTCTGCAATTAAATGTCAAATACTAATCAAATTGGAGAAAGTGTGAAGTACTAGAGTTGAAATTCTACTCTAGTGTTTCCCTACTGGTATCTCATCTCAAATAAGCTTTAACCAACATGTTTAATCCCAATTCAGGACACATTGTGGGAATAAGATCTCCTGATTGTGCAACACATTTTTAGCTATTGTCTGTCAATCACATCATCTTTCATTGAAAGCTTTTAACAATCTTGCCCTCACATTTTGCAAACTTTTTGCAACCCATCTGAGTGACATAATATGGTTGCCTATAATCGGAGCAAATAGTTCACCCAGTCACGCATATTTGTTGTCATTTAAAGGATTTATATGTGACAGATTGTACATCTTTGTTCCTGCATAAATGTTCACGTCTGTTCCTGCTCTGTATTTAATTTGTGGTAAAATTATGTCTCCTTCCTTCCTTTTATCTATGTGCTTTTTGTAGCTGTCAGCAGAGCCTCTTGTTAGACCTCTTTCCGCTTTTTCTGAATCTTACATTTTCTGATGTCTTTTTCTCAATCTACCATTCCACAGTTGCATGTCTCTAACCTATTTCAATTATTTGTGCCAGAAATCTCGCAAAGATGTCGGCAACTTTGACAAGGAGTTCACCAAGATGGCGGTGGAGCTGACACCGACGGACAAGCTCTTCATCATGAATCTGGACCAGAACGAGTTCCAGGGATTCTCCTACACCAACCCTGAGTTTGTCATACAAGTCTGAGGACATCCCTGTGGATAGACGAGGCTCAAAACTAAACAACAAAAAAATCAGCCCAACTACAGTACTGTGTAAAAGTTTTAAACAGCCCCTGATACTTACAATAAACAGCTAAACTGCCTTATTATCTTATAAAGTCCCCCCCCCCCCCACACACACACACACACATACACAAATACACACTTTTTAAAGGGCTTTTAAGGCTTTTCTTTGGACTTCAGCATCTTTTTTTTTTTTTCGCTTATATTAAGTTCATGATGGCATCTTTTGACATGTTTACGCAATGAATGAAATGTTAAATACCTCTATTGAGAATCATTAGCACTTGTGTGTTAAAGAAAGCAAACTTGCAGTTTGGGCCAGAAAAGATATTTGCACCTAATCCTCCTGCAGGTGCATGAGTTGATGGTACACATTTTCATTCAAGATGGATGAAAGCTGCTTGTTACAAAGGCTGCATTTGTAGTTGACTAATTCACTAAAGCCCTTCGATTATTATGTTTTAAAAAATTTGTAATACAAAAATTTGCAAGAGTAAGCGGGCAGCTTGCTCCAAATTTTTCTAAGCTGGTCCGTGTGCAGAAATGTACTTCTTTCTTGGTAATGGAAGTAAAAAGCACACCTTATGAGTTTAAAACCAAGCTTTGATAATTGACTAACCAGTTAGTAGATTTTGATAAGATGAATTGCGACTAAGGATTGATGAAACACTTTGTCAAATCATCAAATGTAGATATTTATATCAGCTTGGAAGAATGTATTTTTCATGGTACAGGCCAAAGAAAAGTCGGACGTTTAATTAGCGACCTATTTACCAAGTGGAGCTTTGGATTTCAGGCTGCAAGCGGTCTGTTATATCAAAGACATTCAGCAAATAAAACCGAGGAAAAAAAAAAAAAGATACCAGTGTTTTTAGGTTTCCAAGTATATAGCTAAAGCAATGAAAATAAAAAAAATACAACTTTATGATGAATAAAACATCTGCTGCTAAGATGACATGTAATCAGCTTTTTAACTGGTGGGAATTAATTCAACTTTATTTGACTGAAAGTATTGATTTCCATAGTTTTCTAAGATAAGGGCAAAACAAAGTGTTTTTACAGCACATAAAGTCAATATAATGTTATAGCAAACTTGTCTTTGTTATCAAAACGTCACAGATCCAATAGAAGCACAGACAGTTTTACTGTGCAGCAGGATGGTGGCCCAGAAAGCTGAAATCTGTTAGCGAGAGTTTACCAGCTTAACTACTGAATCAGCCACCCAAGAAAACAGCTGAAAGACCATAAAAGTGGAAATATTTGACAAAAAAAATTGAGTGATGCAACATCCTCAGGTTGTGAGTGTATAAGCTGATAACTTTTGAGGAATTACTTTCTTTTTACAGTTTTCTATCTCCTGACCCACAGTGTGTTTCAAAGCTGTAGTGAAAGACAAAAACACCTTTGTAAAAGGCTTGTAGTACTGTAAAATACCCAGAGATATTTAGTCTGGTATTTTTGAAACAACGCTGGTTCATCCCCTTTTGATTTAAGAGTAATCTCATTTGCAACAGATTTTTTTTTTTTTTTTTTTTTTTTACAAAGGAGGCTCTTCTAAAATTCCTGTATGGTAAGCTAGAAACAAAGAGGTAAAAGGATGCTAAAGTCTGAAGAAAACTTCAAACCATCTTCAGAAAACATACAGGATGGTTGATGAACGTATTAAATTGGTTTATAAGAACACATCTCCTTAGAAGCAAGTGATTAAAAATACCGGTTGATTAAAGTCTTTTGCACAGTACTGTACATTTCCCTCCTTATTTGTTAACCTTTTTCAGAAAGTCAAGCCGACCTCATGTCATTAAAACATTGATATTTTCAAACCGATCCTCAGAAGCACTGGCAGTAAGTTGTAATCATATAGATGACTTTTCTTCTAAAACATGAAGAGCAGAAAAGGCCTGAGATGATGATCTACCAGGGTGGTGGCTGCCGTGTCTCCAGGAAACAGCAGCAGTTGATAACATTAAGAGGACCTTTGCCATAAGCGGATCAAGATTTACTGCAAACGTGTAGCTTTGTGTTCTGTCGATCATGAAGCAAGTGTTTGTTTACTTGATTTCCTTCTCCTCTGCTGCAGAGAATGACGTCATGAACATTTAGTCATTGATAAATCAAACATGTCTGTGCAGGCAGCCTTTCAGAGAAGGGCAAGATTCAGAACTAGGACTTGTAACTTCATGTCTAAGCTAGTCCTGTACTTAGTCTTAAGCATGTCTCGTCTTCCAAGTTGATGCAAAAAAGAAAAACTACTCTTTTTCACATGTCCTCATGATTCTCTTTGTATTGCAGTGGGTTAGTGATGTACAAGCTTTGACAGTCCTTGTGGTGGAGCTCCTCTATGCATGCCATATCTGTTGATACTGTATACTATTTTTATTTATTTTTTTGTCATATTTGAAGTGAAGACACTGAGTTGTCCTGAATGTATTGATCCAAGTTGTCTCTTTGGGCTAAAATCCTGCTTTAGTTTCTACTCCTAAATGCTGAATTTATGTTTTTTCAAAGGTTATATGGAGATAATGAACTTATACGACACTAACTGCAAAACTAGACGTATACCTCTGTAAGACTTGTTTCTATGTATGTGTAAATATGAAGGAGAAATAGAAGTAGGAGTGTTTTTTTCATGTAATCTCACACTTCTCTACTATTCTTCACTGTCCATTTTGTTTTTGTTTTTTACAATGATTCCAAGTTTTTTTTGCAATCCTGTTATCCCCTCTCTCTTCTTTGTCTTCTAGCTTTACATATGCACTTTATTTTTTTATATTTGTTCCTTCCTTCTCATTCCCCACTGGCATACTTACAGTGAAAGGTAGTGAAATGAGATTAAAAACCTATGGGGAAGAGGAGAGATTTACTATGCAAAAGGCAGAAGCTCAAAAGGAAAAGAAGACAAGCTGAAGAAATAAAAGGACACTTTAGATATGATGCATGAATCATCTTTATCTGAAGAGACAAATATTAAAAGCATTAAAAGGAATCCTCATGAAATTACATTTTCTTTCGTTTTATTTCTGTTTACAAACTCATTGACTAATCAAACCAGACATGAGAAACAAACTATAAAAGGCAGGTTACACATTTATTTTGTATTATAATAATAAAAGGACTTCCTCTTCTTTCATCAGCATATTTCTTCTAATAAATTACTGGCTGACAAAGAGACTGGCTGGAGTTGGCTCCTTAAATGTATTCTAAGTTGGGATTCTCTGGTGTGACTTTAAGCAACCAGCTATAGTATAAATACAGACATTTCCAACCCTGTCTTAAACAGGTGAGTGGAAAAGTTTCCCATTCTGACCAGTCGACATCTGATTAAAACCTCCCAGTATATTCATTAATACCGCCTGTTGTTAAAAGCAGCATTTGTACATCAAATTTTAGTGGGAAAACCAGGCTAATGGATTAGAAACAGTGGATAACTCTCCTAAAATGTTGATTTTTTTCCCCTCTCATCTTGCTCCTAAGTATTGGTAGGACTTGTGCTAGTTTTTTTTTGCCAGTTTTTTCATTTGGACTCTAAAACAGAAATATAATTCAAACCATTGTGTCGAAGATCTCGCTTTATGTTTAGATCATCCTTCTGGAAGATAAACCTCCACCCTGAGGTGAAGTCTTTTCGTAGCCTCTCATCAGGTTTCTCTTTGAACCGCCGTAGTTCGCTACCGGTAATTAGTTTTAGCCAGTTGCTCATCATACCTGACAAGCTCTTCTACCTTTGTTATAGAAAAGCATCAATCCAAGGCACACCTTTAATAAGACGGTGGACAACTGAAGCTCTTCCAGTTCAAATTGAGAAAAACTGTAAAAAAAAAAAGGAAGAACATCTCCACACTATAGTACTGCCAGCACTGTTCTTTAGCACGGGGATGGTGCATTCCTAAATGCTCTTCTTTCCTCCACACTTGTATGTTGGACACGTGTTCACATGTTGATGCAAACTAGCTAGAGCACATTCTTCCAGATACTTTTAGCATTCCTCTGTCCCCAATGCAACCTGCATCTAATGTCTTTTCTTTTTCTTTTTAACACTGTCCTGATAAAGGACGAATTTGTTGAGTTAACAAAAATAAGTCTGTTAGCTTCAGATGTTGCTTTAAAACCAAATTCTGCTTTGAACATCCCAACAACTTTCTCCCTGACCTCTCTAGTGTATGACTTGTTCCTGATGATGTAGTTTGTACACTAATGTGCTCTTATGCAGAGGTTCCTTAACGTTTTGCCTTCTGACACGAAAAACGTTACCACCATGGTGTCATGGCCCAAAGTATTGGCATTTCCAAAAAGTAAACAACAAAAAACACAAACTACAAAACTACAAACTATTGACCATAGCAAAAAAAGTATAGTAGAAATAAAAACAGCACCAACAACCTATGTGTTTGGTTTTGTCCATTTCTAATTGAGTTTTTAATATCTTTAACATAATTGTGCTTCATCATGATCAGTTTTTTTGTTTAGTTTGATTTCTGTAGAGGATCTCAAGACCAAATTTATCCTTGACCCTAATTTTGAGAATCATTGCTCTAAGGAACCTAGGAGGCCTTCACAAAACAGTTTTTTCAAAGGTAGAAATACATATGGTAGACGATACTCTCTTCTACTCCTACTACTTCCCAAGGAAATTATTTAAGCTGCCTTAATTGTGGATTCTAATGCAAATCACACTTTTTTTAGGTCTGTATTTTTAAAATGCATCTATGGTCCCAATAATAGACATCAAATTTTAGGATTCCCTATAATGAAACAAAATTTGGAAAGTTTCTAGAGGTGTGAATGTTCTTTCTTTTATTTTCCAACTTCTTCTAATTGTCTTTTTCTATCTAAACATGTTTGCAGCATATGATGGACTGATTTTACAACTTTAGAAACTGTTTCAGTATTAATTTGCTTCTTCTGTGCTGTCCTCCACGATGCAGAGTTCATCTGGACTTTGTGACCCAGCAGCACACCCACCCACCCACACACACCCCCTCATTGGCAGGCGGGGTTATCACTCGGTTCTGTTATTTGAGGACAGACTTTCCTCTATCAACTTTCCATTTCGCTTCAGCAAGAGCAACATCCCCTCTGTTCCTCTTCTTTGCCATCAGACCCGGGGACCCAACTTTATGAGTTTTGCGCTGCCTGCAAATGGCAACGCTTTCCAAACCCGTGCGTCCTTCATCCAACTGGAGTTACGCACAGATGAGACATTTGGCACCAGTTCTAATCGGCCTCTGAGTCCTGAAATGGTGCATCTTTAGGTGAAGCTGCTCGGTTTGAAGAAGTGGGGGGAAAAAAGCCACCATGAGGGTTTGTAACAGGGGGATGATGATGCTTCTCACCACGGCGGGGGCTTTCTGCGCGTTCAGCCTCATGACCATCGCAGTGGGCACAGACTACTGGCTTTACTCCCGTGGGATGTGCCGCTCCAAGAACCTGAACGACAACGAGACCGTCCATAAAAACGAGGAGGTCCTGACCCACTCTGGGCTTTGGAGGACCTGCTGCACCGAGGGTAGGACTCAATATAGGCGCAAAAACTTTATTAACATTGTTTAATTTGAATGATTGTTGCTGAAAAATATTAAAAACACACAAAAAGCTGTTAAAAGATGTAAACAACAGACGCATCTACAACAGTAAAGTCCAAATTAAGTCTATAATGTGCACATGCCAAATAACATTAAGATTACTAAAGTAATCTCACTGGACGATCTCAGTAGGATCTATTTACGGTAATACTATAGAAAAGGGGTTTTATAACGTTGATCTCCAATAATACTGTCCTGCAGTTTCTGCATGCAAAAAATAAAAAATAAAATAAAAGGTTAATCACCAGGCCTATGCCAAACTTGCTTGCAAATCGAGAAAATAATTTATCCTTTTGATGCAGGTGTGTTGGTGCAGGGAATCATGCAGAAGCTGCAGAATAATGGCAGTTGATGTTTCCTTCCTCTGTTATAGAATATATGACTTTCTAAGAGGTAGAACAATGGGTTAAGCTCAAGCATCAATGCTTTTTCACATACAGAGTCTCAGTGTCCTGGATAATAAATCTTATTAAACTGCAAATGAAAATTTGCATGATTTACATCAAATAATATAATAAGAAACAAGAAAGGTAGCTTGGGAAATTATTGTTTTCTCCATGCAAGCAACTAAGCTCTAAAGGCTGGCTCCCCAAAAAGAGCTAATCAGTATTACGACTATTAAAAAGTTGTGTAGACTGTATGTATAATTTGCACAAAAAGTTCCAAAAAATGTATTTATAAAGTTTTCTTTTTAGGCAACAAGTTTGCATATTTTTAAAGTAAAGTCAACCCAATTTTTTCTACGATGGAAGTGATTTAAACTTTTTTTGTTATTATTTTAATACATGTAGGGGGTGTAATTATTCTGGTTTATGTAGGCTTAGACTGTAGACCCAACAGACAATAGTTATCATTTTATATTTATTCAATTGGAGTCTGATAATGTTTTTAATCTACTGAGAGCTGCATGCAGAGGATCCCATCTACCACAATGCACAACCTCTGCTTGGTTTTTCATGTAGCAGAATTTTCTAACACAAAAGCTTTCTAAACTGCAAGTGTTTGTGACAGTCATTTTATTATAACCTACAGTATGTCAGACCTTCTGTTAGTTCACAAAGAATGGGAATACCTGAGCCGTCGTCTTCCTTTAAATGTGGCCAAAGGAGTTTTTAAATGAAAAACAATATTTATGCTTGTAAATGTGCAAAATAAATAAATAAAATGCAATAATGAAAAAAAGATTAGTTAAGTAAGAGCTTATTATGGCCAGAGCATTGTAAAATAACAACAATAATTATAATAATAGCAATAAAACATTTTCTCCATTAAAAAAGTGCAGCATAAAGCCTGATGCCACATTTCATTGTGAAGTAAAGCTGTAATAAAAATCTTTTTTTTCTCCAAAGTGCAAATAAATGTTTAAATTGATTTAAGGTCGCTTGTTTGTTTGCAAATCTTTATGTCCTTGGAAAAAATATTTTTTTTAGGCATTATGAGTCATACTTGAAGTTTATGATTTGAAGTGTTTCCCTGCAGTGCATCCCAGATTCAATCTTTGATCTATTCATTTTTCATTGAATGGAATAATTTATCGGGATTCATCTTGCAGAAGAAAAAACAGCACAGACATTTAATAGTGGGTCAAAAATTGATGGAAGTAATATTTTTCATTATTTATTCATGTTTGATAACAGCCTTTCCCCTCCAATACTCCAGCATCCACTGAATGATCCAGTAATCTTCCAGACTAAATTAAATGCTCACTCTCTTTTATTCTGAGGCAATGTCCAGCTACTCCCTCACTCAGCTCCAAAGTGGTTTAATGGAGAGGCAACTCTTTAGTAAAGAACGTCAATGCTTTTTACAACATTGTGTGCGAGAGTATTTTTGTGTGTCAGTATGAGTCAATGAAAGCCACAAACAGGCAGAGTAATCAGTAGCTGAGATGAAATGTTTTAAAGGTTTTACTTGTCTTTATTGTTAAATATCTACCTTTCCTACATATAAGCTTAGTTATTATTTTCATCTTTAAACGCTGCTGTTAAAAAAACTATTTGAATGAATAACAGGCAAAAAAAGTCATTTATAAACCAGATACTGAAAGATACACTAGCTAATCTAGAAGTTGAGTAGGAAGACATAAACTACCTTTCAAGGTATCCACACCCCTTGAACATTTTCCCCTAATAATAATAATAATAATGAATTGGTTGTATTCTAATTTTATATTGGAGATTAATTCATATTGCTGATGTAGAGGTAAAATTATTAATATGCATCTTTCACAAAGTCAAAAAAATTGTAGAATATATTTTTTTAACCCCGTCTACTCTGATATCCCTAAACAGAATTCTGAAGTTCAACTTCCAATAGCCTCTAATTTCTAATAATACGTCTATCGTTAAAAGTGACTCTCTGTTTAAATCCAGCTTTTCTGTGAAGGCCCAAGAGTTTGTAACAGGACATTAGTGAACAACTGGCAACATGGAGACAAAGAAACACAGCAGCCAGATAGAGCTTTTCAGTTGGCGGTCTCATGAGTATCAAATCTAAAATAATACTTTGACCTCTGCGAAGACGCAGCCGCCTCGCTGGAGAGGAGAACAGTAAACAGAGGAGCAGCAAGGTGGCTCTAGAGCTGTTAAGATCTATAGAACAAATGGGGGAATCTTTTTACTTTACAGCCATTATTCATCAAACCATTTAAGGAAAACCATGTCAAAGGAAAGGTATTGTTGAAGCCATGGAGGAAACAGTAAACAGTGTGGAAGAATCAGATGAAACAAACTCTGAACTTTGAACTTCTACAGTGTTAAAATTTACTATCTCCACTTTGTTTTTGCAGCATCATGCTTTAGGGATGCTTGATGTGTTGTTTAGTGTAATTCGCTGCAAAATCAATTTACTTTGCATTCAAACATTTAGAGTTATAATGTTGTTGTGCATTTTTTTATATGGTCATATGTGATGTTTTTGCTTTTGTTTTGTTCTAGCTCTGCTTTATAACTCCAGTTTTAGTGATGCCTAAATAGTTGAATGGTGGCTATTTTCCTCTTGGTTAAAACAGTACATGATGACACATGCACTTTGTTGCTTATGAATAAAAATCCCCAATGAAATACATAAATGTTTGAGGTTGTAAATGAAAAGTTCAGTGCAGGATCTCAGCTTCTCTCTGCGGCTGTATTATATCCACTGTCATTAACTGTGTTCTGGTTACCAGGAAGGGCAAATTTACCTTCTAATCGATCGAGATGGCAGTTAGAGACAGATTTGTCAATATATTCCTGTGTGTGTAAATGTTGACAGGAACAGCATGACTCAGTGACAGCTGGAAGCTTGTGTTAAGCTGAGCTTTGCTTTCTATGTTGATCCACACCACGATAAGACAGAGTGGATGTTAGCTTTTCCACTCACATCTTTCCTCTTCTTCCTTTAACTGTGTTAGATGAAAAGAGTAGAAGCGTGTCAGTAAATTTTGAATATAAGAAAAATTAAAAGAGGTCATCTTATGATCATGAAAACTGTTAGCTTAAGCCACCATGTATGAGAATCTATTTGTTACAAATAGTATTTTTTTCTTTGTCTTTCAGGAATATTTCAAGGTGTTTGTAAAGATATTGATCACTTCCCTGATGATGCAGACTATGAGCAGGATGCTGCAGAGTATTTACTAAGTAAGTAGCAGATTAGCATGTCTAACAGTGCCATCTTACCTTTAAATGGCTGACTCAATGCTTTCAATACCCCTGAACGTCTCTCTTCAGGGGCAGTCCGAGCCTCCAGCCTCTTCCCGATCCTCAGTGTGGGGCTACTTTTTCTTGGGGGTTTGTGTGTCGCTGCAAGCGAGTTCTACAAGTCCCGCTACAATGTCATTCTCACCGCTGGTATTCTGTTTGTCTCTGCAGGTCAGACACATACCACACAGGGAAACACTGTTTTTTTTTCTTAGCTTATTGCAAACTAAGTAAAAAAAAAAGTATAGAAATAAAATCCAGGCTAAGGCTAATGAACTGCCATCTTGGCTGGATGTTAAATTTAAAAACAAAATATGTTTTATGCTGCTTTTAAGGTTCTTCTATTGGTTTTGGTGCTCTGTTTAACAAAACAATTAGCTAAATATGTATTTTACCCCCTTTTGATTAAACTTACTTAAATGAAATCCCTTTAAAGTAATTACAATTTTGCTTGACCACGTCAGGATAATGTATCATTTCAAAGGGAAAATTATGCTGGATCTGAAAATATAAACCTGTGGTGCTTGTCTGAAATCACTGAAATCAGTGAATCATCACTGATTTAATGCTTTGCTCAGGTCTTGCTCCAGATTCTTGATCAAGTTTGATCTGGGCTTTTGCTGGGCCATCGTAAAAAATGAATATAATTCAATCCAAATCATTCTATTGTAGTTCAGAACATGTTGGATGGTTGTCCTGCCAGAAGATGAATCTCTACCCAAGTCTCAAGCTTTTTGCCACCTGTTACAATTATATTTCTATTTCAGCTGTGTATTTAACTCTATTGACCCTTAGCAACTCTCCTAAGAATATTTTTCCCACAGCATAATGATGCCACCATCATGTTCCATAATGGGATGATGTGGTTGATTTTTCACAACAAATACCGTTTTGCATTCAGAGCAAAAGGTTATATTTGTGTATGGCTTGCAGAAAACATTTAAGTCGAACTCATCATGACTTTCTTTTAACAATGGCTGCCTTTAACTATGGCTTTGGGTGAATTCTTCAGTGAAATTCAAATTCAGAGGGCAAAAAGAGAAGAAAAGCTAAATTACGAGATGCAGAAGAGAATAAAGTATAAAATGTAACATAAACTCTAAACTAACCTTAATTTATCAAAATATACAATTAGAAGATACAAAAAATAGGGGAAAAAAACCCGTACCAAAATATAGAAGTGAAAGACACCAAAAAATTTAAATTAGGTAGAAAATTAGACTCCACCTTAGCTGAGATCTTCTAGGTTTGGGTGTTTTGTCTGCTTCCCTGACTAAAGCTCTCCTTTCTCCGTCTGTTAGTTTTCATAAATAGGAATGTTTTGGTAGATGTTCCAAGTTAGAATTATTGTTTCATAACCAAATCCTGCTTTAATTCCCAAAAAGAAAAAAAAAAACAACAAACAAACCACTGGACTTGTTTTCCAAGTTGGAAGACGTTTCGCTTCCCATCCAGAAAGTTTTCTCAATTCCAAATGTCTGGAGTAGCGTTGAGTTCCAGGCTTTATAGGGTAGCACAACAAAAGCCTTGTTATGGTTTGAAAACATGCAAATTTAACTAAAAACAGGTCCACCCCTTAGTAATGGGGAGTCATTGAGGTCGCTGTTGGCCTGAAATTCCCGAAACTGGTCCATGCATCTGTAAAGAGGAATCGTTAGGTTTGTTGTTCGCTTGGCTAAACAGGCCAGATGTTTTGATCCCCTGCATGGTGATGAGAAGTGAGGATAGCCAGGCCAACAACGACCCTGACGCAGGGGCGCCGTATTGGGGAGAAAAGTTAGGACAATTCTAAGGGCCCTTGACTGAGGGGGCCAAAAGAAGAAGAAAAGATTTTTCCCGCTATTTTTTTCAAATATAAAAATTAAATTCAGCAGTAAAATAAATAATTTTCCTTTTCTCTCCCATTTTTCAGCAGTAAACAGTGAAACAAAGCATAAATATATTGACACCCCCCACCCACTGTGAAATTGCAATAAATTGTTTGGTCCTGCATTGCATCAGGTCTCCCAGTCTGTCACCGGCAGTTTGCTCGTACCGGGGCTTAAATGCAACATGCACATCATTTAAATAGTGATAACGAAAGAAACTAACTAACAAGAATATGTGTAAATAAACAGCAGTGTGATAACAACTAAAAATGCAGCGCCCCAAAGTCTGGGGTTCAAAAAGGAACGGAAAGGAAGGAGAAAGAGGAGAGAAGGAGAAGGCATCGGATACCGTGACCCAGTTTTTCCCACTCTTGGTTTTTTCAGAAACGTTTCTTAAATTAATAGTTCAAATTAATGATAGATTATTAACCTGTTGGGTAAAATAGGATAGCTATCTGCTGGATACAACTAAGTAGTTATTCTCCCTCAGTTTCGGAGGGGATTAACATCATTAATGATGCCGACTAGCTGGTTGCTGTCCGAAAAGTTTTTAATTATTATTTTGTTGTGTTTCGTTTTTAGTTTTCCAAGAAAAAATAAACCAGGATTAATCCAGCATTTATTTAGTCTATTATGTGTCTGTAAATAGCACAAAGGCACACAGGGAGGAGAGTTTACCTTCATCAACCAGACCAGGAAACAGGAAAACACTGTAGTCCTCAGAGGATTAGCACCAGCTAAACGCTAGTAGATGTTTAGCAGGATATTTACATTAAATAATTGTTGTTGTCCCTCCTTCATCATATAAACAGATGATCCGCCTGCAGCAATCCTGCTTTAAGCTTGTCCACATCCCTGACCTTCAGATAATAGAAATAGACCCTGTTTGTATATTAGGTGACCCCCTTGAAGCAATTCTTTGCATCAAATTTTATTGAGTTGTATTAGTGTAAAGGTCGGTAAATGTGAATGAGATTTCTTTTTCCGAATTGTATTGCTAAAACATTTAACACATTGTTCTGTTCTCTTGTACAGGTCTTAGTAACATAATTGGCATCATTGTGTACATATCAGCCAACTCAGGAGACCCCAGTCAGAGCGACAACAAGAAGAGTTACTCCTATGGCTGGTCATTTTACTTCGGGGCACTGTCGTTTGTGCTGGCTGAGATGGTGGGTGTCCTGGCAGTGCATGTGTTTATAGAAAAGCACAGGCAGCTTCGCACCAAAGGCCGGCCCTCGCTTATGAAGCCACCCATCTCCCGAAACTTATCTTACCGCAACCGCTACTACCAGAACCGCAGCCGACGCTACAGCTACAGGAGCAACCACAGCATGGCAGACTCAACCACACATGGCTACCAAACATCAGCGGTACGTCACCAGGATCCCAGCGTCCCCAATGAATCTAAAGTCGCCACTATGATGGGATCAGAGTTTCTTTTGTACGCCTTAAACTCACCTCTGAAGGAAAGCAAGATTGACATGGCTGAGGAGGATTTAGCAACCGCAACTCACAACACAGACATGTTGCCGGGAAACTGTGTGTCCAATAGAAGAACCACACCTGTCTGAGAGGGGCCAAACTGGGGAGACAGTCTTCCTCGTGGTTCAAGGACAGTGGAGACTTTTCTTTTCTTCTGTTGGTTGATTATTTCAGATTCAGACTGAACCATTTTACTTTATTACAGCAAGAGTCAACAGAAACAGATGTTTACTTACTTCATAAAAGGACACAACACCCTATTTTCTTACTTTCTGACATCCTTAATCAAAATGTTCATTTTTCTGTCCTATTTTGCTAAATACCAGAATAATGACAAAGGTTTAATTATTATTTTTGTGGATTTTAAAGGTTTACATACGTTTAGATTGTTATGCTATTAAACTTTTTGAAAAACCCCAGATGATGACAGTATTTTATAAGCTTCCTCTAGTTTAATATACAACACTTCAGTTACATTAAGAGACTACTATGGCTCAAACATGTATGAGGTTATGAGAAATTAAAGCAAGCAGTCAAGACATCAGGAATACAGTGTTAGACCTTCAAAGTCTGGTTAATCCTTGGATACAACTTCCAGTTTCCTAATGTACACCATTCATTTCTATCACCGACTGTTCCGGGACATATACAAGTTTAAAAACCAATTATATTTCTGACACAGTAACTTTTAAAACAAAGACAAGTTCTGTATCTCAGAGATAAAGTGTTTTGATGTGACATGTGCACAACATCACCAACAGAACATAAAACAAAGCTTGTAAAAATGTTGGAAAGGTGTTTTACTATCCAGCATGAAAGAAGCCCTCCAGCAACTTGGCCTGAAAGGTTGTTCCAAAAGCAACATGAGAAGGCAAGCAACAGTTTGCATATGCATTCAAGGACAAAGCCTAACTCTGGTGAACATAATGATCGTCATTATATTTAATGAAACACTGGGGATGCTTTTAATTCTGAGACCTCAATCCCAACTGTGACATACAGAGTCGGAACCATCATGATGTGGGGGCAATTAGCTGCAGGACGAACTGGTGCATTTAAAAAACATAAATGGCATCAAGAAGAAAAAACAACATTATCTGGATATACTGATACAACAACTCAAGACATCAACCAGGAACTTTAAGCTTGGATACAAAAGAGTCTTCTAAAAGGACCTCAGCCAACCTTCAACTTTAGGTATAAAGACTGGGTTAAGGGACCCATACGCTATACTACAGTTAAACTGTCATCACAGAGTCCTGATCTCAGTCTTATAGAAAGAACTGTAGAGGTCTAAGTGAATAAGGCAACCTGCAAACCTAACTTGGTTCAACCAGTTCTGCCAGGAGGACTATCCCAGCAAACTGTGTTCTAGTTATATATATATATATATATATATATATATATATATATATATATATATATATATATATATATATATATATATATTGAGAGCGAGAGAGAAAATAAAGATGTAGATAAACAGATAGATTTTATTTGCACTATGCAAAGCACTTTGTACATTTTTTTACTGTGAGAGGTGCTACATAAATAAAGTTTACTTGCTATCTTACTATTCTAGGAAGCATGTGGAAAGCTTACCAAATAGACTAACTAAAGTTCTAAACTTCTTTCACCTGACGCTACTAAAATTGCTGTAAACTTATTCATTTAGAGAACATAAAATCCCTGGTAAGTTTAACTGACCTATAAAATTGAATTGTTTAGTCTTATTTAATGACAGACAGGCAGAAAACAGTGGCTATGTGTCTTTTATGTACAGAAATGGAAAGGATGAGCTGTTTAACAAATACAAGTAAATCAAATGTATTACTTCTGGTTAACAGAAACCAAAAATGGTTTCACCAGGACAACGACGGGCTGCAACTTTTAAACTTTGTTTCGCTGCAAACTAAGAATGTCAGGTTTTCAGAAGTCAGGCGCACAGAAAAAAAGAGAAAAAGTGAAGATCACACTAAAGGCTTGATGAATTTTATGAATAAATATTAAAAATAAACTGAGGATGAGTCAGGAACATGTCCAGGAATGGAATTGCAGAAGAATAATTCCCATCAGAGCCAGCAAAAAGACTGTGTTGTCCCGGGCCTTAGCAAAGCTGTCAGCTGGCCTGCTCGCGGTGAATTGTACGTTTTTTGCAGATGTTCCAAAACCAAACTCTTATCTTTTTTGTTCCATCTATTTCATCAACACTGTTATTTACTTGAACAAAAAAATTACATTCTAAATAGTATAGAAAAACAGCGATGACGCCAACAAAGCTAAATGTACCCTAAGGATGTAGACATCCACACACCTGACAGTTATATAACTAGGTCTTGTTCCTGTCCTCTTTTTTTTGTGTCCTACATGTTCAAAATCGAAAACCCTTTATGTGCATTAGAGCACAACTTTCTGCCTCTCTCACTGTGTCTGAGTGTGTTCAGCTAAGTGAGCGCTGCATACATGGAATCAAAGTGTCAGACATTTTGACTGTAACTGAGTCCTTGTTTACATCAAAATAAAGCCTATAAATACACAGGGTGTCAAAAAATATCCATATGGATCAATGTAAACAGTTGTTGTTTTTCTGTTGCAGAAAGTGTGTCTTTGTGTTTGAGAGTAAAGATTCAAATATCTGTCCTTGCTTAAGTCACAAGGAAACATGTGACCCAACCACAAGCAAATATGACCATAGAAACAAGCATTTATTGAGAAATAATTGATGTCACGCACCGGAGAAATATCAGAGCTTTGCGTGTTAGCGTGAATGAATAACCTGTGTTACAGATCGCAGCGGGGCGGAACAAGCCGCTTCAGAGGACAAAGTGTACATCTTCTTCACAGCAGGCAGGCAATGAAACGAGGCAGATTACCATGGCAGCAGCAGTGGCCGACACAGATAAAATCATAGTGGCAGTGTAGAATAAAATAATGCAATATTAGAGCTGACAACACCATAATGAGCACCTTTTGCACTGTTTGACCTCACTTTGAGTTCACGTTTCATTATTTTCAACAGCAGAAAAATAACACTGGCTGAGCCTAAAGTAATTCCTTGCAGAAAGCATCAAGCTTGGTAGAGTTTGCAATACATTTTACATTGTTTTATGAATCTCTACAAGATAATGTATTTCTGAAAAACTATACTGCTAACCTTTCTAAAAAAAAAAACTAATGCAGGATTGACTTATAATGAGTTAAATAGTAGATAGGTACCTCCATGGTTTATATCTCTGTTTGCTGATCTTTGGCTTTTGAATTATATTTTTCCTTTCTGAAGTAAGTCTAAAAGATGGCATGTGTAGTTTTCCTATCTTTATTAGAGTGAGATATGATAGAGATTTATTGTACCTTAGGGTAGAATTTAGGGGTGATGTGATTGGATTCATATTATTGATTTATCTTCAGTTAATTTAGTCACAGGAGTTAAGAAATTATGATAAAAATGAAGGATTATAGAAAGTTAAGAGCAGCTTCTAAATAAGAATATTATTATCAGCAAATTCACTGATAAGAACAGTTGTATTTGCTGGAGTAAAGCCAAGTAAATTGATTTTTTATTTTATGTCTCAGATCATAAAAATGTGTTACAAGAAGAAAAAGAACGAGAAACTGCAGAGCCTTGATAAAAGAATTAGTTACCTCATATATCATTTTAACTGAGCAATTGGTATGGCTGTATACAGCTGGCAAAGGAAAAAAGATTAAAAAAAAGTGAATTAGTTTAATGACTGGTGTAGAAAATTATGTTTTATAAAAGCATGAGATAATTTTATGGAATTAAAAACAGTAAATATCTTATAATTATATTGAGCTTTATGAACTCCAAGGAATCCAAAATGCTTCACATTTCCATCAATCAATCACATGCTGGTGGTGATAATCTACACTGTATCCCTAGCTGCTCTTAGATCAGGGGTGTCAAACTGGTTCCAGAAAGGGCTGTGTGGCTGTAGGTTTGCTTTCCAACCAAGCAATAGCACACCAGACTCCAGTCATCTCATCAAGTCATCATGTTAAAACTGGACTCACTTGATAGGATGACTGGAGTCTGGTGTTCTATTGCTTGGTTGGAAAGAAAACCTGCAGACACACTGCCCTTTCTGGAACCAGTTTGACATCCCTGCCTTAGATGAAGAGGAAGAGAGATGAAGAGCCACTGACACTCCCAGTATGAATAATCTAATAAATCTAAGAAAATCTGTTATTGTTAATGTTTATAAAATTGAAGATAATTCTTTACCATTCATACTTTTTTTTTTTTTACCATTTTAGTTTCCTGTGCAAATACAAAGACCAGGTTTTTATATTCAATGTACATCAAGTACATTTTAGTGGGTATCAGTGTAAGGCAAGGTGCCAGCCAACATACACTTATCATAGACTTAATGGATTAATCAATAAATAACTTTATTTCAGACAAACCAGGAAAAAATGCAAACATTAGGATTAATGACCTATATAATTGTTTTATCTGTCTTTGTCTTAACACGGGTATGAAGAAGTAAAAGTTATTTTTTCCTACCCCTTCACATTCCTATTTCTATATATTTTTTATATTTATTTATTTATTTTTCACAAATCAAAATAGAAACTCAGAATACATCAATAAAATAAGAAATGTGACAGAAACCCCATAGGGCTTATACCAAAGGCCACACCGCTGGAACAACAAACATCAGGAAGCTCACATTATTAAAGACATTTCACTCGAGAGAGAAAACAGAAAAAACATGTGCAATTTTTGTTGTTGTTGTTTTGCATCTTAACTTTCAGATTTCAGGGAGTCAATATTTGTAAAATCATACATAATTGTCTTTTTCGGATAACAGTATTTTTTTCAAAGACTTTCTACCATTTATCTCTGAAGATAGTTTCTCCTATCCTTATTATTACTTATTCCTATAGTGCCTAATACTAGAAACATTCCTGATTCCAATAGAATTTATGAGTCAATGTGAGCAAATAAGTTTATGCAAATAGAAGGTGTGTAAAAGGTGGTCAATGGTTAGAAAGCAGTTTACTAAACCATAGATAAAACCCCTGTGGTTCATTGTGTTTTAAAAGGTTTATTTAAATGTAAATTTCTTTAATGGATAATGGGTTTATGAAAAATATTTTTCTTTTTAGAAGAAGTCATAGTAAGATAAAGTATTAGGTTAATTAGTTAAAACCTCTGATTTTTTTTATTGAAGACTGTCTAATTTCAAAATTATTTATTGGGATGAGAAAAATATCTGTTGTCCTTTTTTTCAAACCAATGCTTTACAGACTCAATCAATGCTCCTTGAGCTCCTTTTCATACAAAATATCAAAACTTTTTTGTTGATGAGAGTGTAATATTTGATCTTTTTGCTTGATTTTTTTATGACAATATAAATATATACATGTAAATTCAGTTCAGTTCAGTAGCTTTTATTTGTCCCAGTATGGGCAATTTTTGTGCAGTACTAGTACACCTTTCACACACACATTCACATTTCACAAATAAAAACATTTCACAAATAAAAACACAAGAAACACATAAGATATTTTAAAAAGATATTCAATATATGTATATCTATCTATCTATCTATCTATCTATCTATCTATCTATCTATCTATCTATCTATCTATCTATCTATCTATATATATATATATATATATATATATATATATATATATATATATATATATATATATATATATATATATATATATATATATATATATATATAAACAGAGAAAAGTAAGGTGGATACATAAATTAATTAATAAATAAATAGTCTTTCTTGTAGTTTCTTATTTTTTTAGCCAAAGGCGCTTCCGTATTTTTGTAATTATTTGTTGGATTAAAGCACACATTTTTCTCAGAAAGAGGAACGGAAATAAACGATTTTTTCAGAAATGTGTGGCGTCATTCTCAAATCCAATTTCATTTCCGCCACAACCGAACGCTTCTTACTTCCGGTTCCGTCTGACGCCATTTTGATGAAACAGCGAGGATTGGAGGACCGTTGACCTATGAAATGGATTTTATGGATTAGAAGTGAATAGTAATCTTGATAATTCCATTTTTTTGTTTTTCTCGAGGAAATTATCGTCGAAGTGAACCATTTTCTCCTTATTCGTGTAACGGACGGATTGAGAAGACCGCGAGGCTGCGGACCCGGCTGCTAGCTGTTTGCTTTTGTTAGGCCGTTGGTGTGTTGCAATGTGTTGAGGACCATGCTAGTTTGCAAATATACGCAACCAACGACTTCAGAAAGACATGTCAGGATCGGATAGTATCGTGAAAAGACTATTCTTCGGGAGTTTTTCTTCTTCTTTTGTTTTCTTCGGCCGAGACTTTTTGCGGGATTCGTTAGTCTTCGAATAAAAAGGGACTGCACCAGAAAAGACTTTGGCTCAGGAAAGCTAAGGGCCGCTGCTGCTGCTGCCTGAGCGGCTTACGGCGCTTTGAGCTTTCCCTCAAGGACAATTCACCAAGGACTTGGTCTCATTTATAAAACAGCATAACAGAGATACACTGTTCTGCATGAACAATCTTGGATTTGTTGGCATTACGAAATGATTTAATGGACTTTAAAGGACTGGCGGGGCGCGCGGTGCCTCTCGTTGGCCCTTTGGCCTCATCCTTCATACGTTTTTCTTTGGCACTTATTTGAAAAAGGCTCTGTTTTCCTCTTCGAGCTGAGCCTTTCCTCATTTTAGCAATTTATTTTGTCAAGAGTGTTTCAGCAAACTGAAAGGGTTACAAATTAAACATTTAGCCTCATGTGTTCAGTGTTGACGCTGTTTTTTTTTTATTACATAACAGATCTGTTTTTTTCATTTAGCTGTGCTTGAGGTTATAAATAGACCTGTGAAAAATGTCGTGTGTTCATTATAAGTTTTCTTCCAAACTGGACTATAACACAGTCACTTTCGATGGGCTGCATATTACGCTTAGCGAGCTTAAGAAGCAGATAATGGCCCGGGAGCGGCTCAAGGCCACAGACTGCGACCTGCAGATCACCAATGCGCAGACTCGAGAAGGTACTTTTAAGTGGTTAACACATTACTTAGTTAACTTAAGAGATTTATCATGCAAAACATGTTGGAGAAAGAAATCGTGATTTGTGCTTCTGATTAAGAATTGATTAAAAGTCTCAAAGCAGGTCTACGTTTTACATGTATATTATTGTATTTGAAATGTTTTTTGTTTTGTTTTTTTCTTTCATGAAAGTGGCCTATTTTACAAATTCTTTCATGTTGAGAAACACAAGAGTGGAGGAAACCAGTAGTCATTAAAATATTGAACTCTTGCTTTAAAGAATTTTTCCACAAGCACTTTTTGTACCCTATCTGTGTTTATTTTTTTCTGATCTTATTTCCAGGGCTGCAACTAATGATTATTTTGCTAATTGATTAATCTGTCTATTATCGTAGACTTGGACAATTTTATTAATTTCGTTTTGTACAGCTTTCATGATATTTCCATTCCTTATTTCGATTAATAATCAGATATTACAAAAGTTTTTATTTTATTTACAGAATTAAAACAGTAGGAACTAAAGATCTTAAATGTACAATATTAATACATATTTTTACTATTTGGTATATTTCTTCCTATAAGTGGGTTTCTAGATCAGCATCGGTATGTTTTAAAGTCTGTATATTCCAGTTAATGTTTGATCAATTACTAATTTAGTTGGCGATTATTTCAAAAATAGGTCAATCTGATTAATTGTTTCAGCCCTTTTATCAACTCAAAATAGCTCCACGCTACTTCCTGTGGAATATGGGTATAATGTCCATGTAAGCTGCCACATCCACTATTTTATCATTTGAAGAGCTTAGGATGAAGTTGTCAAATATATAGACAAATAGAGGTAAAGGAATTTGATTTGTTTTCTAAGATATTTCAAACTTCATTTCCTTCGTATTTGTAGAGATACCAGACCAGTGTTCATGGCCACAGCTGCTTATGAATGCTGCTCAATTCCTCCATACTACATTATTTTTGTAGAGGAGAAATCAGTTTGTATCTTTATATATACAAGGAAGTTTTACCTGCAGGTCTCAATTTTTTGTCCAGTTCAGTTTTGATTGGTTAAAAATGGGTAGAAAATAGAAAATTTTAATCAACAACCTTGAAATAACTTATAGAATAGGCAGGAGATGGATTTTGTTAATGCAGTGTCATTTTGAAAAATACAATTTGAGATGGGTCCATTGTGTAAAATGGACATTGAAAAACATTTCAGTATCATCACAGTTTTGGCAGACGGATGGACGAACATTTTTTTTGTTTCCCAGTTCTGTCGTGCTATTGATACTGGTAAATGTCCATTTGTCTGCCTGTCTAAAGAATTTATGTTTTTATTGATTGCTTTTGTGTTCCAAAGAGTACACAGATGATGAGGCACACATCCCGAAACACTCTTCTGTCATCGTCCGCCGGACTCCGATTGGTGGAGTGAAACCTGCTGGCAGGACGTTCATTGTGTGAGTGTATTTGTTTTCCAAAAACCCTCTTTATTTTTGCTATTTTCTTAAGGTTTGTGATTTGCAGTTCAAAGCATTACACGTCATCAGCTGATGTTTCCGCCTTTTGTTTTTGCAGAGATCGTTCTGAAACAGCTGGGGTTGGATCTTCTATACCCGTATGTAAAACAAACCCAGAACAACACTTTGTCCTCCTCCTCACCTCTCTCTCTGTCCCACTCTGTCTGGCTTTAGTCATCTCTCTTGAGAACATTCTGTCAGCCAAAATCCAGTTGAATGAATATTCTGTTCACTTTGTGTTGACAATATTTTGCTGTTCTTGATGCCAACCTTGTTTATTCCATGTCTTTTTGTCCAGGGCTTGTCACCACAGATTAAATAATTTGTTTCTCTGAAAGTAACACTTTATTTCTATTTTTGGAAATGACCATTTTTAAGTACGTAGCGGCAAAAAATAATAGTGCTAAAGAAACAAATTAACCATTTTGTTTCTCTGCATTGAAGTGGTTGTTGAATTGTTCCCAGAGTTAAAATATTTGAACTCTTCTGTGTTTCATAATGAAGTGGTTCTGTAGCCTGCTTTAAGGCCAATGTTTCAAGGTATTTGTAAGAAGAAAAAGAAATGTGGTACTTTTGTATTGATAATTTCTTGTCATTGTTGTTTTCTGTGAAAATACTTTAACTGGGTTTAAAAGCCCAAGGAATTAAAGTTTCTGAGATCAATTGTTATTAATTTTGAATGCACTTTAAAGACTAAAGTTGTGTAAGTTATATGCTGAAATGTTTTCCACCAACACTTCTGTCAGTTTTGTCTTGTATAATTTCATCATGAATATATTCTGTTCTGCATGAAGGATGGACTGCACATACTCCTCAAAATCTATAAAACCCTCAGCTTTTACCCCGCTGAGCCTCTTTACTTTTAAGATCATTTTTATAACATTTTTCGTTTTTTTTCCCCTTTCTATATTTATAAATGACGAGGATGAGATTTTTTTTTGTTTAAAGGGGGTTAAGGTGAAGCTCTTTTTGATAAGATGCTGTAATCTGGCCATTATTTTGTAAAGTTGTGAGACAATCGCAATTTATTCAGAAGTATTCAGTGCGACAAATGCCCTGTGAATTTTCTGGAGGTCTTCTGCGGTTACTGCAGTGAGAAGCAGACTGGTGTAGTGTGTGCTGTAAGCTGCAGAACCTGTCAATAAAGTTTAGTGGTTCGGTGTCAGAACCGCTTACACCAGATCCCTGTGTGTTCCCTCCAAGGCATCCTGCAAAGTTTTATTCATTTTATTGGTTTTCTTTAAATGCTGTTGCTCCTATTGACCCCTGTTTTTATTTGTCTGTTTGCTTTTAGCCTTTTTGATAGTAGAACTTTGTGATTTTATGTTTTTCTCTGAAATTTAGAACTTATTCTATTTGAGGTAACTAACATTTTCCTCATTGTAGTAGACAGACTTTTTTTTTTTTAGGAAAGACTGGCAGATAAAACTTCCCTATTTTGTCTTATTTTAATTTAATTTATCAAATACATGGTAAACAGTTTTTTTCATATTTTCTTTTAAATTGAATTAAAAAAGAAAATTTGTAGATTGTGGTGGTTGTAAACATCAGCAGCTTCATGAATAATTTTTAAAACTTGCTAATGCTGCGGAAACAGGAATCTTAATCTTGCTTGCTGGTGAAGGACGGTCATAATTCATACAAAGCTGGTTGGCTATTATAAATTTAAAGCAAATAATTTATGAAAACTTTGGTAAACATTTACCTTTTTGGGTGTTTGATTCATAAAACTTAAACTCAAAGATATATATTTTGGGTCATATTGAGCATTTGGCTGCAGAGTTTTTATTATGGAAGTTCTGGTTTGATTGCTTAGATGTATAGGTATCACTTTACAATTAATCTCCCCTCTATAGATGGCTAATAAATTCTGTACAGATGCGTTCATTTGTCTGTCAACACTTTAATAAGTGTATTTTATGAAGTATGGACACTTAAAATATGTTTGCTAATGCTTATTTTGATCACAAGGTTATAAAAGTTACTCTGAAATGTTGAATATAAGCAACACCAGAGGAAAATGTTAAACAGCTTGGATCACGTTTGACAAGAAACTGTGTTTTGTTCCTTGCTTACCTGTAATTAATGCTTAATTAACTCTTACGAATGAATTATAAAGTGTTTACAGATTAATATATTTATCAGCCATCTATTAGGGCAGCTAATTGTCAAGTTGGATCCATGCCTGTTAGATGTGTTGAAAATATGCTTCTGTTGTGAACACTTGAGTGGACTGGACACAGATGTGGTGAACTGTGGGCTATCATCTTCCAGAATGTGTCGGGTGGATGAGTTAACATTTTTAATCTGTATAATTTTGATTCCCCCACAGACGGATTCTTCCCCTTCTTTGACTGTTGCTCAGCTGGCTAAGGTACTGTTTTTTTTTTTTTTTTTGCGTGGTCACTTTAGGACAGAATTATATTTTCCTTCTGGTTCATTATTTGCATGTTGTTATTATGTACTTTAGACCCCAAACCTGGTTGATGCAAATGCTTCAGAGGAGGACAAGATTAGAGCCATGATGACTCAATCAAACCATGAATATGATCCAAGCAAGTCAGTAAATGGACGGTTTTCTTTTTTAACCAGGCTCATCTAGATTGAAAGTTGTTTTTGTGTGTAGAGATTAACTAAAGTTGAAATTTTTCTTTAGCTACTCCAAGAAAGCAGTTGGACCCCCACCACCTTATTATACCTGCTATCGTTGTCACAAGTCTGGCCACTACATCCGGCATTGCCCCTTGCTAATGGTAGTAAAAGCTTTGAACATATTAAGTAATATCAACTCTTTATCACACAACTTTCTATCAAGAATCAAGGTGTTGTCAAACTTGTAACAGCAGTGTTTATTGTTTTGCATTTTTTTGTTAGATGCAGGATAAAAGTGTGGAGGGGCCCAAACCAGTCAGGATCAGTAAGGGTATACCGCAGAGCTTCATGGTGAAAGCTGACCCAAGTGCCAAAGGAGCAATGTTGACAAGCACTGGAGAATATGCTATACCTGCCATAGACGCGTATGTCATGCATTGATTTATTTTTTAAATTTTTAGGGTTGCATGATTTTGAATTTTTTGCCAATAACTGATACTGATATTTTGTGTTCTTTAGATGTAGTTAGTTTTCTTCCTCCTATCCTAGGAAGTCATTTCAAATAGCAGTTCACCTATCGTTTTCTAAAACACATGACAATTTTAGTTCATCATCCCCCCTTTGGTAGTCTGGTACATTTGTTGGCTGCATGTGATCCAGTGAAGCTGCATGCATAAATCTCGAATAGGAATCCTAGAATTGCTGATGTTTCATATTTAGTTTTAAAAATTAATAAAGATACCGATCACAAAGTGCATCCTTACTTATTCTAAATCAGTTATTTCTCATTGTCTCAATATTTTGCCACAAATGAAACCCTTAAAAGGATTTTAAAAATGTCTCAATAGGGAGGCTTACGCTCAAGGGAAAAAGGAACGACCTCCATTCGTTCCCAATGATCAGTCGTCATCAGAAGATGATTCAGACCCGATCCCAGATGAACTCCTCTGTCCGATCTGCAATGACCTGATGACTGATGCTGTAGTCATACCCTGTTGTGGAAACAGTTACTGCGATGATTGTGAGTCGTTTATCAGCTATATGTCCTACTGGTGTTACACCGATCTGTAGTTTATGAATAGTCGCATTCTGTCATTATTTTGTGTGATCTTGCTCCCTGCCTCCGTAATGTGATTAGTTTAACTCTGAAAGAAAGAATCCTTTTTATTCTACAATAAAAACTGGACCGATATGAATTAGAGATGAAGTTCTAACAGCACTTCACCCACTACATGTGTAGCTTTATTAATCTAATTTAAACCCATTGTTCATAATTCAAAATAGAGCTATATGTAAATTAAGCAGTTTATAGAGAGCAAACAAACCAACTTTTTGTACATTTAAATACATAAAAATTGAAAGATTTGGTTTATTTTAAGGCCGCTCAATTTATGAATATCAAAGTAAAAAAAATTTTTTTGCCAGTACATATTCAGGGTCTGTTTTTGATCAGGGACAGTGCTTATGATCTCAGAGGGTATAAAATCTTCAGAAAACCAAAAAACAAGAAAAAATGTAAAAACATTGTATTTCTTTTGTTGGGGTTGATGTATGAAACAAATTAGATCAGGAGCTAAAAGTTTGTACAACATTAACGAGGTTTAAAAACATGTTTAAGAATAATACCATAAAAAATTATGAAAGGCGAATGCAATTACAAGCAGTACGATATTGGCTGCCTTACATTTTTTTTTCTTTTTTCCTAAAAAAAAAAAAAAAGCTATTTTTGTAGAATAATAATTTTTCCTAAAATCATACGTTAGTATGTATTATAAACAGTAGCCATCTATTAAGCTTTTTTCTTTGCTTTCTAGTCCAATGTTAATTGGCTTTGGAGGGTGGGCATTATAAGCTTCTGCCAATACACCCTTTTTCAGACAGTTTTATGTTAAATAGATATATGCTGTCTTTATTATATACTTGTATTTCTGAAATAAACAAATTTGAATTAGCTTTATCAGTTATTCTGTTAAGTAAGGATTGTACCAGTAACCAGAAAAGCTGCATTGAGGCTTGTCCTAGTGTTGGTTTGAGTCTGTAGTTTTAGTTTTGTGTATTGGTTGGAGAGATCTGAGCATGGATAATCCCTGCTTGATTTGAAAGTCATTAAAGTCAAACCAAAGGTAGAACCTTAAATTGGTCCAACAGACCAATTAGTTAATAATTCTAGAGTCTCTTATTTATCTCACTTGAGACAGTGAAAATCACATAATTCATTTTATAGTTCTTAATTCTTCCCATTAGTCTGTTATGACGTCTTGATGTTTACCTCACCTACTACTAACACAGCTGAACAGGTTAACGAAAGGTGATCATTAACAATTCATTGTTTATTGCTTGTTTTCAGGTATCAGGACTGCATTGCTGGACTCAGAGGAGCACATTTGTTACTCATGCAAACAGTCAGATGTTTCACCTGATAATCTCATTGCCAACAAGTTTCTCCGACAGGTAATGAATTTAGCTGAAAACTTTTCAGGGCATTATGTGGATGTACTTTAAACTGTTTTGAAACATTCTGTAAAACCTTGACTTATCATTTCAGGCTGTGAACAACTTCAAGAACGAGACTGGATACACCAAACATGGACGGAAGCAGCTGCAACATGCAGCTCCTCCTCCACCTCGCCCACAATTGGTCAGGCCTTTGCAGTCCAGACAGCAGGACCCCCTCCTGGTCAATGCTGCTAACCCCCCTTCAGTAACTGCACCATCAGTACCTCCTAAAGTAGAAGTCCCACTCGCTGAACTGTCTGCTGCTGCCCCTCTGGTTTCTGCTCCTCCTCCTGTTGCCAGCACCGCTTCTACTCCTCCCATTTCTACCACAACATCTGCGCCTCCTCCCGTTTCTACCACAACATCTGCGCCTCCTCCCGTTTCTACCACAACAACTTCACCTCCTCCCGTTTCTGCCACAACAACTGCACCTCCTCCCGTTTCTGCCACAACTGCACCTCCTCTCGTTTCTACCACAACAACTGCACCTCCTGACGTTTCCACCAGCTCCACTGCTCCATCTACTCCTGAAGCCTCAACAGCTCCTGCCACTCCAAGTCCTCCTCATGCTGCTGCTGCTGAACACAAGGAGGCCTCCCCAGTCCCTGCTGCTGACTGCCATTCACCTGTGGTCTCAAACAGGCGAGGCGAACCACCCCCACCAGGGTAGGTTTAGTCAAGGATGTGCGTTTGTCTGTAACCACAAGAGTTTTAAACATGCAACAGTTTTTAATATTTTTCTGTTTTTTGTTTTGTTTTGTTTTGTTTTTTTCAATTAGGGACACTGATCCAGAACCTACTGTGAACCGACCTTCTTCTGGAACCCCTGAAAGAAAATCACAGGTGGGTTAATCTGTTAGGCTTTGAAGTTACACTACATAATGTTTTGCTGTTGCCCTCTTTTAGAAGTAAATTCAATAACAGTTTAAAGTTTTAAATAAAGACTGCAATACAGAGGTGTGTTTTCATGGAATAGATTTATCTTTAGAAGTTACTATTAAAACTCATTTAAGTTGCAGTCTTGTAATTGAGTGCCAACCGTTTGTTGTGATTAAGCCACATTTTCCTCAAGACTTTTTTTTCCTCCTTACATTACCAAACAAATAAATAAACTATTCATCTCAAAGGCTTTAGGTTCAGAAATATTGAATGTCAAGACACCCAATCGGTGGAATGAGAGATGATTTTAGCTCAATCTATCATGATGAAGACTTGGTCAGGATGTTTCTGAAGTTTGATGCTACTACCCAGAGATTCTCTAAAGACTGAAACCCTTCTAATTCCAACATGATCCCTACCTAAAACCTTAAAAACCAATAGTTTTAAGGCTGCTGCAGTTTTATGAAATGCTGGAAGGGTTGTTAGAAAATCTGGTGGAAATAAACTCCTTTGTGTAACCTTGAAGCTTTACAAGTAGATAACAGAAGAGCAGTTAAATGACGTTTGAAAAGCAAAGTCTGGCTTTATGCCGCAAAAGGCCACAATGAACAGCAGGCATTCCTGGGTAGAAAATGGTAATACTTAGTAGCTTGGAATGGCGGTTTGTTTTCTGACTTAATGATTAAACATCAAATTGTTACTGAAAATGAACTATAAAACTATTATTTACTAGGAGATTTTTATTCAATTAGTATTAATTCAAGACAATTAATATATGTATATTTAAGATCACATTTTGATAAAAACCTATCTGAGAACTGCACACATTAACCTGTGAAATGTAACTGGTTTTTAATGCCTCTGCCACAGAGCTATAGCTTACCTGTCATTGGCCACCTGCCGCCTGCAAGACAAAATCATCCATCAGGTAGCTGTTTTCTTTATTTAATATTAGACTTTTTAATATCTAAAGATTATATCAAACAGCCACTGAACTGAGTCTCCTCTCTGTTAGGCCACCCAACAAGATCCAACCAGTCTCACAGAGGTGGAAACAGACACTGGTAAGACCTTTTCACATGTTAGTCTGTCTCTTTAAACTATAGGAGACCTAACTCTTAATTTTATTTTTCTTCTCAGGTACAGGACTAGAGGAGAGCATCCCTCCTCTCATATGCAAACGGCTCCTCCCCCTGCACCCATTCCTCAAGTGTACCCAGCTGCCTTATACCCACCGGTACCGCAGCCCTATGTTCCTCAGTACAGCTCAGGGCCTGGTCTCATCCCTCCTCCTACCATCAGTTTCCAACCTCAGCCTGTCTATGCTCCTGGACCACCTGGGCTTAATCCCCCCTGGGTCCCTCCTGGTGCCCAGCCCCCTCTCATGCCATTACCACCATCCCTGTCACAGCCCCCACTCTCGAAAGAAGACTTCTACAGACAAAGGCACCATCGACAGGACAAGTATGCTTTTAATTGAGAAAGCTATGGTGTTAAATTTAAGCCTATTGTATGAAAGCAGTACAAGTAATTTTTATTTATTTTTTTATCAATTACAGAGTCACTTCAAAATTGGATGAGTTCACTAAAGATTTCCATTTAGAACTCATAAAATACAGAAATGCCTCTAAGAGACAACGACGATCTTATTCCAGGTAAGCTTCATTATATAAGCTTTTTAACAGCAGTTATAGTTGTATAATTGTAATTATTCAAAAACACAATTTTATAAATTGAAGAAGCACTTAATTTTGGTCACATTACAGGTAACTTTAAAAAGACATTACATTTAATCCCTCCAGCCCTTTAGTTGAAGTAACATGCTTAGAGTGGGTTTGTCTCCACACAAAGGAAAATAGTTGAAACTAGCAAGGCTGAGGAGGAGTTAGCTTTCAAGGTCATGAAAAAACTGAAACCTAAAAGTGAAATTTTTCTCCAATTGGTCTTTACTAATCTAGGCTTTTGGTTTTGGTTCGGCTTGTATTGTTTTTTTAACTATCAACATTCTAAAACAGTTTTTTTTCCTCTTAATTTCTTTGTAGGTCCAGGTCATTCAGCCGCTCTCCATTTAGCCGCTCACCATTCAGTCGCTCTCCGTATTCTCGCTCTAGATCAAGATCTAGAACCCGATCCAGGTCTTACTCTCTTTCTCCCAGTCGATCCCGCTCTCGATCACATGGCCGGTCCTATCCCCGTTCCCCTTATTCCAGACGTAACGGGCGCAGCTACGGACGTTCAAGGTCCCGATCGCGTTCCAGGTCTTACATCTACCGCCGTTCTGGCTCGCCACGCTCTCCTCTGCCCTATCGAGGAGGAGGCTGGGATCCTGCCGAAGCTCCCAGACCCTACAGATCTCGATCGCGATCCCGCTCCCCTGGCGGCTACCGGAACCGCAGCCCTGGTGGAAGAAAGCCCCCTCCTCGCGAGTTGATGGCATATGAGCTAAAGGGACATAGTCCTGCGAGTCATGATCGTTGGGAGAGAGAAAGATATCGACAGTGGGAGAAGGAATACACAGACTGGTACAACAAGTACTACAAAGAGTTTGACAATCAGCATCCCCCTCTGCATCACCGAGGTCATGGCAGCAGAGACCGAGAACGGGAGAAGGTATCGGCATCCACCAGAGACTATTCACCCCAGGGAAGAGGCAGGCGGGGGAAGGAGGAGCGAGGTGGCCCCCCTCATAATCCTCCATCCTCATCTTCATCAATCGCCAAATCCAGCACTAAAGTCATAAAGCCGAAGAAAATCAAAAAGAAGAAGTCTGGAGAAGAACCGGAACAGTCCCAGCAGAACCTGGACAGAGGTGATGCCACTCCTGTTAGAGACGAGCCAATGGATGACATATCTTCCAATACTAAAATGCCCCCCATGTCCTCGAGGCCTCCGCCTTCAAGTGGTGCTGCTACGCCCAAAGCAACATCTTCTAAAGCTGCAACCACACCAGCTAAACCGGCAGCCAAGTCAACATCCAAGACCCAGGCCGATGAAACCAAGAAGGACAAGGGCCTGAAAGTAAAAGCTAAGGTAAAACCACAGATTGCAAAGACAAAAAGTGAGAAGATTAAGAAAAAGCCTGGAGAAGGAATGACGACCACCAAGAAGGACTCCTCAGCCACCTCGTCGGCTGTCAAACTGGTGAAGACTATCAAGAACAAGCCAGATGATGCTTCCAACTCAGCCGCACCTAAGAAAGATAAGCCTAGAAGCTCTGCAGTGAGGCCTGCCATGAAGACTCCGCCTACATCTTCCCAGAATCAGCCTTTACCTCACCACTCTCTGCATGAAAGCCCCCGATCAAGCCACGATTCACAAAGCAGGAGAGAGCCCTCAAAGACTGCTGGTATCCCTTCTCTGCTCAGAACTTTGGTCCATCCAAGACCTCCATCCCCAGGGGACAGTCGCAGGAGGATGGGAGAGGACTGTCGCCCTTTACTCGGACCCCCTGAGAAGCTGAGGAGAGTGGAAGGAGGGGGCAGCATTTCCCACTCACACCTCCATACAAACCCATTTCACAGACTGCCACCTCCCTCTGACAGGCCCAGTCCGCTCCCCCTGCCAGGGACTCGAGATCTGGGACGAATAGATTCAGATCGAGGACCTCTTCTGGACGCTCAGGTGAGTTTATTACAAATATTTCAGTTTTTAGATGAACCGGGGGGGGGGACAGGTGAGCTGTTTGCAACTTTTAGAAACTTCCCTGCTCCAGCACACCTGAATTGAATTGAAGAATTTCACTTTCAGTATATCAGTAGTCCTGCAGAGTCCTGATAGAGAGACATTTACTTGACTCAGGTGTGTTGGAAAGAGGATGCATCTAACAGTCAACATTTGGCTCCCTCCCTTCCTCTGGCTGTGTGTCCTCTGTCCCTCTACTGCTGCTTGTCCAGTGACACAGTGACACTGGGTTAGCATTATTGATATCACCAGTGCAACGAGAATCAGGAAAGTAAACAATGGAGAGCAACATTGAAGGGAGCCAGTGCGTAGTTGGTGTTCTTTGTTGGATTCTTCTGTCCATCCAGATCCCTCTTACCGGTGCTGTGCCATATTTATCGAATATAAACAGAGTTGTTTTGGCTTGTTAAATCAGACGCGACTGGTGTTGCGATGCATGTTTGTTGGGCTCAAATGTATCACATAAATTAGCGGGTTGACAAGGCTCTGATGCTCCCACCGTATGCTAAGCGGAGCATAGCGTTTGAAGGAGATTTTAACCCGGGTCGTTTGACGTGGTTAGTCGCTGGCTGTGAGCTGTTCCCACTGATTGTTCCAGAGTTTAAACAGGTTTTTTAGGCAGTGGGAAAGGGGTATATATTTTAAGGTTGTAACTGTAGTGTTATGCCAATTTAAATGTTTCTGTAAAAGGTTGCAAACATTTCCTTATCTGGGACAACCTGTTATAGACGGACTGCAGGACAAAACAGCAGCTTTACTGTCCTCTGTCGCCTCGACAAAGCATAGCCTGATGCACATTAAAAGAAGGTGCACTTAAAATCAAAGAGCAGCTAAATAAAATAGAAAAACTTGTTGCCTTTTGTTTGTAAAATCTTTTCTGTCATTTTTAGAATATAACCTGGATATTTTTGGGTATGATACATTAACTGTTTGGGGGACAATTTTAATGTCATTTTTAGTTTCCAATCATGGATGCTGTTTTTTTTTCTTTTTTTCTGAAAATTAAGGAATGTTTTTTTCCCAACAGAAACCTATGAGGAGGATCAAACTAAACAGAGATCTGGGCAGAAGAGGCAGCAGTGAAACGGCACCTTCAGACAAAACCTCTGAGAAATCTTCCTCTGGCTCAGATCGATCAGCTGCTGCTCATGGCTCTGAGGGAGACAGACACAAAAGTACATCAGAGGCAGGTGGAAGGAAGGAGCCGTCGACCTCGGTGGATAAAGTAGTTACCAGGGAGCGGCCAAGCAGCGCTGGTGATAGGCACCGTGGCTCTGATAGGGAGCAGGTCAAAGAGCGGGATAGGCCCTCTGGTTCGGACAGAGACAGGGATTCAGGCTTCAACAGAGAGAGGGAAAGGCCCTCTGGGTCAGGGAATCAAAAAACTTCCGATGACAGAGATGAAGAGGCGGATAAGGTGGTAAAGGCTGAGCGAAAAAACCCCAGCAGCGGAAGCTCAGCAGGTCGCTCTGTCTCTGTGGATAAAATGACGATTGGAGAAAAATCTGCTAGTAGCAGGGAGGTGGTAGATCAGGAGAAACCAAGTGTGTCCTCCAAGGAGAGAGCGGATGGCTCAGAGAGAGCTGCTCAATCTGACAGGTTATTATAAACGTCTCACTCTGCTGATTGTCATTCTGTTGTGTATTCCCATGCTTGATAGAAACATTATATCATGGATCCTTTTGTGAACACAGTTGTTGTTGAATGTAATTATATTGCCTGTTCTCCCAGGAGTCGATCCAAAGACAGAATGGAGAGGAGTGCCCCCTCAGGAGAAAAACCAGCTGCCACTCAAAAAGAAGGTAATTAAGAGCTCCATGAAGTTCAGCTCTAAGAGCTGATTGGTTTTGTTATCTTTTTTAAATGAAAATGTTCATAAAACCTTCCTGCTGGCTTACAGGAATCAAAGATGGGCAGGAGATGGCTGTAAAAAGCAAACCCAGGATCAGTCGCAAGGCTGTTTCAAGCCAGGTCATAATCTCCTCCAGGTGAGTCTGTTTGACAGTGTTACCAAGAAAGTTTTTTTTTTTTCAATGTCTCTAGCCTTTCTGGAGAATTTCCCACATTCGTGAGCATGGTCAGGATAAACCTGGGTCCACATAATAAAACCCAAATTTATCATTGCAACATCACTACGAGGACTGGAATGAATGTTGGCTAATTACTAATTCAGACTTTGTGCTGAACCTCCCATGTCAAGAGGATCGTGTTTGCAGCCAATTGAAGGTTTAATACCAGCATTATCCCATATTTTAGCCATGTTCATCAGCTCTGATCAACTTCCCTGTTGAATAGACCGTAACATGCTGCCACCATGATTTGTTTTTATAACCTTGATCTTCATTATTCTCTAACAAACCTGTTTTCAGAACAGATCAAGTTACAAATATGTAATTTGGTTGGACTTTGTTTTATTTTGGGGTATCAGAGTAAAGGCTGCTGAGTTTCATTTAGAGATGCACTGATCCAATACTTGGATCAGTTATCATCTCTGATATTGGTCAATTGTTTTGTTGTTGATTTGATATTGGATATTGATTTGATATTGGATATCCAATACAGTGTAATTTGCATGGAACTGCTATTTCTTTCTTTCTACTGCTTATTTATAAATTAACAATAGAAATTGCATTTGTGTTAATTTCTTACTACTTTCTTTTACAATGTTTATTTTAAGGCTAAAGCCTTAACTCACATGGCAAGATTTATGGTTCATTCAACAGTTGCATCACATTGGCATCAGATCAGTTAAAAATGGATCAGTGCATCGCAAGTTTAGTTAGGTAACCCATTTAGGCCTAAAACGCCTGGAAAAAACACCTTAAAAACCTATGGCCGATTTTAAAAAATACCCCTAAAACCTGAAGTTTTTCTGTAAATTCAGCAACTGTGTCAACGCCTAAATTATTGATATCTCAGCTTCTGTAGCAGATAGAACTCAAAATATATTTTATCTTTGAAATTCTTCCAAAAAAAAAATGGGAAAAGCAGTAATCAAAAAAAAAAAAATTCAACCTTTTATTTTTTCCATATGTGATCATGTCTTCATTGAGAATGTGCAATATAAAACGTTTTCAAAATAAAGAACAAACATTACATAAATAACTATCTGATGATTACTTATTAACAGTATTATTATGCATATTAATGCATATGTCTGTGTTATAAATTGCATACAACCTACCTCCAGATGGCCACAAATCTGTCCCGGGACATATTTTGGGGGAACTGCGTCCTGAAGAGAGGTTTACATACACAGCCCAATAAATGTCTTCATCTCCGTCACAGTCACGGGTGACCACTTTGCCATCTTTGCTCTTGTTGGAGTTTGGTTTGTTTGGTCACTGTACCTATTCGTCTCGGTAACTAGATGCATCCAAAGTTCTTCATTAAAAATATGCTCAAATGCCTGCAGCGGTGTGGCGTCTGCAGGCAAATCAACTTTCACTCCAGGTGTGCGGTTGAAAACACTCCGTGCATTGCGGTGGTAGTTCGATTGGTTCAGCGCGTTCAAAGTCATCATTTTCATCTATACCGTCATCAAAGCCGACACACTCCTCAAAATCACTGCCTTCCGACAACTCTTCTCTGTCAAACTCCTCCATGTTTGCTTGAAAAAAACTTCTTTCTTCTTGCTTGACTTATATGCTCTCCCGGCGTCAATGGTAGAATGACGCAACAGCACCCCCGGCTTGAATGGTAGAAATGCGGTAATGCTTTCCCGGCCTAAATGGGTTAAAGAAAATGTTTCTTTAACTTTATCATTCATATACTTTGTTTTTAAGCATGGTAATACATCTGAAAAACAAGAAAGTTGGTGGCTTATTTAGATGCTAGAGGATTATATAAACATGTAACAAGCTGTTAGATGTTTATCAGATTTGTTTAGTATTGCTTTTAAGAGTTTTGTTTTTCAAAGCAAATAATGTTCTGCCGTTTCCTAAAATGTTTTTCAACAGGTCAGTGCAGGAGAAAAAGCCCGACTCAAACAAAGACCAGAGGAAGAGTGCGTCCTCTAAACCTGCTGAGCAGCCTCCGACCAGTCCTCTGAAAAGCCGCAACCGGAGCCCGAGTTTCAGCCCACCGCCCAGCCCAGCTCAGGACGAGCCGCTCATTCAGCCTCCTCCCCGCTCTAAGTGGGAGAGAGAGGATGACGAGGAAGAGGAAGGACAGGAGAATCCCACCCTGACGACCAAGGATCCTTCGCCGCCAGCCCAGAAAATCCGAGCAAGTGAGGGACATCATGATGCATCGAAACCTGTTAGAAATGAAGGCTATGAGGCTGTAAAGGAGGAGAAGAAGGGATCAATCAAAGAGGAGAAGAAAATAAAGACACAGAAGGAGGACAGTAAGGGAGGCAGGACGGCACAAAAAGACTCGGACAAACCACGCAAAACGAAATCTGTGAGGGAGGAGAGCAGAGTAACAAGAGAGGAGAAAAGACCTTCAGCTAAAGAGGAGGAGAGGAGAGGTGGAGCGAAGGAGGAGAGGGCTCCAGAAGGAAAAGCAGTCAGAGAACGTGAGGAGAGTCGAAACCCAGAGCCAAGGAGACAGCGCCTGTGTTCCGACCTGACCCGCGAGACCGACGAGGCCGCTTTCGTGCCAGACTACAGCGAGGGGGAGGGCTCCGAGCCGGAGCGAGGCCGCAGCGGCAGCCTGACCCGTACTCTAAGCCAGCCCTCCCACAGCCGCTCGCCGAGCAACCGAAGCGGCTCAGCCAACACCACTGACAAGAAGAAGAAGAAACACAAGAAGCAAAAAAAGCGCAAGAAGCAAAAGAAACACAGCAGCCAGGACAAAGAAAAAGACCCCAAACAACACAAGAGCAAACACAAGAAGAAGAAACACAAAAAGAGCAAAGACAGAGAGGTGGAGGAAGAGGAGGATGAAAAGGAAAAACAAGAGGAGGAAGCTCCATGCTAACACCTTTGCCAAAAATCCTGCAATACCTAAACTGGAAAAGTTTAATTTCCTTTTATAAGAGAATGAATTAGAAGGTGTTTCTGGAGGAGCTTCTGACTTCAGCTCCAAAAGCAGCTCCAGGGAAGCTGCTGGAGTCTCTGACCTCTTTGGCCGCTCAGGAGAGACGCCATGGAGCTCTGCTTTCACCAACCAGTGTCTGACCACAACAGACTTGCTAAACACAGCAATCAGTGTCATCCATAGGAACAACACACACTGTACTCAGGGATATGGTTGCATCTCGTAGAAGATTCGCTGCTTCGTTCGCTTTGATCAGTTTGTACATAGAGATTTGCTTTACATTTCTGTTTTTCCTCTCTGTCTGCTTTTCAAGGCTCAACTATCATTTATCTTATTCACATCTATTTTCTTTGTAAAAGAGTCACCTTGGGGTTTTGCATGTTTTAGCACTTTTGAAAATTCAAATTCTCAACCCTAAAAACAACAGCTTTTTAGTTTATGGAAGTGCTATTTTTTTTTTTTTTTTTTATCCAATCTGAATCTACAGTTGCTTTCCCCAAAAACAAGGATTTGCAACAACTGAATAACCTGATAAGATGTCCTTTGGAAGTAAAGTTTATTTAGCTAAAATGTTTGACATTTCTGGTGTTCTTAAAGTGAAAGCAGACAACTGTGTGTTTAGACCACACTGGATTGTGTAAATCAATGGTGTTTATTTAATGACGAACCAGTCTTGAAAGGTTTATGGTTCCTAAGGTACAGATGCCATCAGAGAATGTTTATGTGGATGAAGCTGGTGTGAAAATGATACCTGTTCTATGAATTGTTCTGTTTCTTTTTTTAATAAAAAAGTTGTGAACTCGATATCGTTGTTTCATCTTCATTTAAAAGACATTTGCATACGTAGATACAAGTTTAACCTGTACCCAAGCTGTTTACACCTCAATCCTAAACTTAACCGTTAGCAAAATAGAGATGAGGATTTGCAGATCTAATATATTTATAGTAAATGGGGAGTCTTTGAAGATCTAGCAGACTTTCCGAAAAATATAACTTGAATTTATCATCAAAAGAATGACATTAAAATAATCAGTTAAGTCTTTAAAACTTCCTTTCCTTGGAAACGTGGGTATATTTATGCGTTTTCCACAAATAACATGCTATAAAAACCCTAGGAACAGGATATTTATTAGTTAAGTTGTGTTTTATCAAAAGGTTCTATATCTGGCTCTAAATTACTGATTTAGATGGAGTATGGGATAAATGGCTCTTACAACTGGCTCTCAGACTCCACATCTTTACACCAGAAGCCCTTTCTGATGGAATCAGGATTTAAACCCTGGTTCCCTGCATTACAGTCAGACTAGACATGGAGGCTGCATATTTTTAGTGATTTTATAAATATATATATAAATATAAAGCTACAAGTATGAAATAACTCCCCTTCATTTTGGTATATTAATTTGCAAAAAGTCTTATCATTGATCTAAACCTGTACCTCTGCAGTGTAAAAATGTAAAAGTGTTCCCTTCGTAACAATTTAATAATATAATGTTCGTATACAATTTTTGATGCAGATGCCTATTATCTCCTCTCCCCTGAAACTTGGTGCCACACCACTGCTTATATGTTTGCTCCAAGGTGATATTTTGATGATCAAGTTTAAGAGCTTTGTTCAATCTATAGTGACAGACGTCCACTTTATTTCTAAACGTCTTAAACGACATGAACTTAAGAAAAATCCTGTTCTTAATTCATATGGCTAAATATGCAGTCGGTTTTCCCTATGCAGCTGTAACAGCTTCCTGTACAGGGTTGGGGAGCTTGTTTATGGGAATGTCTTTTACCATTCTTCCAAGAAGCTTATTTCTGAGACCTGCAGGCTCTCTTTACTTTAATCCATCCTAAATGTGTTTAAAGCGCTGAATTCATGACTGTGCGGACCAGTGAAGCTCAGCAGCACCATGAGACTTCTTTGACAACTAAAGTGTTCAGACTTCCATTTAACTGGAGCTAAGGAGTCAAACACAGCTCCTGCTGGAACAACCCCAACAACATCTAGTGTCCAGATTTGACGTGGCCTCACACCACTGCATAGATGCTTAGCAATGCACTGCTTATGTATGGCCTGGATACAGAAGCTCAACCATGGAAATCTATTCTATAAAGCTCTCCTTAGCAGTCTAATTCAGCCTAGGTCCATTGGTTTGTGGCCTCCTGCTTCATTGCTGTCGTTACCAATTGTTTCCTCTTTGTTTTATCGCTGACAGTGGATTATTTAGGGAGAATAAATACAGAAATTATAAAGATATTGATATCACAGTCGCAGGCTGGATTTTACTGATCTTTAAAAAAAGTTTACGATAAAGCAGTATACATGCCTAGGTGTTTGGTTTTATACATCTGTGGCTTTCAGAGAACTGGTTTCAACATTCGGATTGGGAAATGGCCTGTATTTACACTCAAGTCAGGAGACCCAAAAGCACTTTTGCATTACATTCAGTAATTCAGTGATAATGGTGAGCTAGAGTTTAGCCACGGCTGCCCTGACAGAAACAAGGCTGATGTACACAGGAATCATTAGAAGGCAAGGTGAGTGAAATGTCTTTGCCTCCAGCTGCAGGGCAAAATCCAGTATCTGACACCACTGTCACCCACCACTGGGGAGTAAATGTAAAGTCAATAGGGGTATGTTCATGTGGACCAAATATTGTTGGTGCTCTGAAATATTTCAGCTATTTTGAAGGATAAAAAAAAATATATAAAGTAAACTAGAAATATAAAAATGCTTTAAATTTTGTTTCATCTAAGAACCATCATGCTTTAAAAAACAAACAGTTAGTTATAGAAATGTTTCTCTAGATGTGCTTCACTGACCACTTAATGTCAGAGCTTCCGGTTTTCACTAAGCTGCTGTTTCTATGTGGTGAATTTAATCAAGTGAGCCACCTGCAGTCTTACATAAATAGGAGGAGAGCAGAATAATCATTTTTTTTTTGGTTTCAGTAAATCGGCAGCGAAGGAGGAGACCAGGGCTCTCCAGCCTGCAGCCCCAGAGCCACAGGTGCTTCTTTTGTCCTTCCACTGCAGTTCTTAATAGCATTGGTCAAAAATGAAATGGCTTTCACAACAAAGCCATCTCAGTATGAATATATTTTATAACGTTTTATTAGTTTTTCTCCCCTTCATTTCTGTGTAAAAACTGAATTCAGTGAGATTTTCCCTTTCTCTTTAATCTGATGGCAGAGAATAAGAAAAGAAAACATGAAGTACAACCATGGATGTCAGTTTCTACACACATATTAAAGGCCTTATGTGCAGTGTTCCTTTACAGCCTGTAGAAGTCTGGTATCTGATTTAAATATTTTCCAGTAAAAACTATTGTGTAAAGTATCGGGAAAAGAAGTAAGAGTGTGATAAAACTGCATTTCCAGACTTTATTTCTATTGTTGAAATGTTTTCCTTCCTTCCTTGTATCTCTACTTTCTCATAAAATTCTGTCCTTCCTTTCCTTCCATAACCTTCCTCCCCATGAATTACTCATTTGATTGATTTCATGCAGAGGTGTCAAGTAATGTATTCATAAGTATTTTTCTTCCTACTTCTACTCATTACATTTTCACACAAGTATCTGTACTTTCTATCCCTTACATTTTTAAAACAAACGTTACTCATTACTCTTAGCTTTGGTTTTATGTTTATAAATATTTATTTCACGTCATGTGCGCCATCCAATGCAGATCTTTGGCGCCATCCACATCTATTGAAAACTAGTGTAATTGGATGAGACCTATAACTCAAACACTCATTGGTTAGCTAAAGGAAATAATCAGAAGCAAGCAGGTGTTCTTCAAACTGCAAATGTGAATTGTCTATGCCATGCTACAATGTAGGATTCAGAAAAAGATGTTGAAATGTCTGAAAGGTCGTCACAGGCAGGCGAGAGCGTATCGGGAGATGGAGACCAACAAGACCTCCCTCATTCTTTGCCCTATCTTAAAGAATTTTTCAAAATAGTCAAAAAATTGAGCTTTTAATTCATATAGTGGCATCTGGATTTTTTTTTTAAAGGTTACTTTATACTTTTATACTTTAAGTAGTTTTTGGAGCACATACTTTTTCACTTACTTCACTTTTACTTGAGTAAAGAGGTCAAGTTGATACTTCAACTTTTACCACTTCTACTTACCGTAAGTGACAAATGTGTTTACTTTGAACACCACAGATTTCATGTCATCTCTGTTTTTTAAACAATAAATTCCTTCTTTTTATATATATACATATTTTTATTATTCTGTCAGCTTCATTTCTTCCTTTTCCTTTCACTTCCTCCTTTTTCCAAATTTTTTCCTTCCTTCCTTCCTTCCTTCCTTCCTTCCTTCCTTCCTTCCTTCCTTCCTTCCTTCCTTCCTTCCTTCCTTCCTTCCTGCTATTCACCCATTTCCTTTCCTTAACACTGTGTTTGCGGGACATTCCCTGACTGTTTATACTTGGATCTAATTGGTTGATTGGACATTGTCCCAGAGAATAGACTGGTAATGCACCTTTATCTTCCACATATCTTGGATAATGTGTTTTTTCTCTTTCCACAATGTCACATGGGGTTGGTTATGTGTAAGACATCAATTTAACTCAAATGCTGTGAATTAACCAATCAGAACCCTACAAAGTCATGACATCACCATCTCAGCTTTAATAGGTTCTTAAAAGGCATAGGTTAGGCTCCAACTATTTAGGCCAATTAAGTTTTGTGTTTGTGAACAAAATTATTCAAAGAAAGTCTAGTAACTCAAAATTCCTTTATTTAGCAAAGAGAGAAAGAAATGGATGGATTCAAATATCTGATTTTAAATGTCTGACATGGCTCATGGTTAAGTGTTTCTTTTGAAAAAACATCTGAAAATCTAGAGAACTACTTTAAAGGGATTTCTGAAACACTGGAAAAAATATTTGTAAATTACAGGCTTGCTCTTATTCTTACTGTGAAAGAATGAATGAATATTTATTTATTTCAGACAATAATAGTAACAAAAAAATAAAATAAATAAATCAAATTAACAAATAATATAAATGAATCAAAAGAACAAATAATAATAAATAAAACAATTCCAATTTTAGAAATGATGTTGTATTGTTCTGAACAGAAATGTTCTGGAAATAGACACATATCAACTGGTCATGAGAGCAGACAACTTAGTGAGTCTATATTATATGTTGTAGATCACAAATTCAAACATTCCAGCCTGGGAAAGATGCAGTGGTACCAAATGGACACTGGGTGGCGCAATAAGTATTGCATTACTTTGGGTGGAGGCGAGATTACCTATGAAAATCATCTTCTATATACCTCCAAAATATTGCTCCACATGTCACCTCCTCCCTCTGAGAGCAGACAGGAATAAGCCTCATCATGTCTGTTAGTGTGTTGGTGTGTGGGTGATGTGCGTGTGTGTGAGTGTGTTTATGTGTGAGGACCCTGTGTGAAGGATGGCGTGACTGCTGATCACAGGAAACAGGCGGAGGGCTGAATCCGGGTTCAATGGGGGGCCTGGGTGGAGAAAGAAAAGGGAACCTTAGAGGATCAGATGCACTTTACCTCCAATAGCAGGAGCAGTACGATGCACAGTTATATGCAGTTTGTACGAGCATGTGTGTTTATATATTTAAGGTCACCATTAATGGACCTAGAGATCAGTGAGACCATTAGAGAAGATTAACATTTTACTTTAACCCCTCCCTTAGCTTAACGTTGAAAAAAACTCATTATTCCTTTCATCCTGCATGTCTCTTTGTACATGTGTGCACCTGCTATCTGCTGGCCTGTTTTATTTTATTTATTTATTTTTCCTTCTGGGTGTCTTTTT